TGCAGCTCGATGCCCAAATTCTGGGCTCCGTGTAGTGCTTCGTGCTGGTCTGGTTCCTCTTCTTTGGTGAGGCTGTCTTCTCCGCAGCCTCTCCGCGTCCTCTTCCCCTTCTTCTTTGCTGTGTGGGGGGGGCCACTCTGGAGTTGCGAAGAGGGTCCACCACTGGTGACTCCTCAAAAGCAACTTCAACGTCGTTTCTCTCCGTGTCGCTGCTGTCCTCCAAGTCCATGGGGTCCTGGCCGGGCACCCATGTCGGCATGGCTGGGACCGCGTGTGGCACCTGTTCTGGCACGCCCGCAGTGTGAAATGCAAGGGGGAAGGGTCCGGGCACCTCCTCTGCCAAGCTCTGATGCCTGATTCTTCTTCCTCCTTCACCACGGCCCCCACGACAAAGAAGAGCCACACTGTTAGAAGCAGCAGCCTTGTGGAAGCCTTGTGGAACCTCTTGTGGAGCACTGTGGAACCCTGTGCACCTTGCCGACGCTTGTGGAATCATAGCCCGCGGAACCTCAACCCTCATGGGACATTTGTGGAACCCTGTGCCTTGTGGAACCCTTGTGGACTTGTGTCTCGTGGAACTCTCGTGGAACCCTGGTGGAACCCTGACCTTACCTCAGGGCCGCCCCAGACCACCCCAGAGCCTATCTGGGCTGAGGGAAAAACGTTACCACAAACACAACCTTGCCGCATCATTCCCGAAACTATGCAGTATATGAGCCGCGAATCTAGGATTCCTTGGTCCGTGGCCATAAGAATCAGGTGAATCATAGTATCTAATCCATTCAGAATTCATAGACCTAAATTCCATTGTTCTCCATGAAAGGAGCTTCATCATATTGAGATCGGCGCCTCTTGTGAGGCCATTATGGCTTATCCAACACATGCAGCAAGTGCAAGGAACCTAACGTGCAAACTGGCGGCCGCACAAATCAAGAACGATTCGTCCATGAAGGGAAAAGCACGATCCAAACATATCTCACCAAACACATCTGGAATCACAAATCCGCTGACCTCACTCCTTCAAGCGGACTTGGGGTTGTGTTTTCCTGCGCACCTAGTTCGGGATATGCTCCAGGGAAACCCAGTGGAAACGAAAGTGAGGGGGGGGGGGTGGAAAATGTGAAAAGCAGATCGGACAATTCGATCCACTTCCATTGCGGGAAATCAGAAAAATGGCAACGGGCTCCCAGATCTGCGTGCGGCCTTTTTTCTAGGGACGCCCCAAAATGGTGCTTTTCCCTAGCACCAAAACCGGGGCCCCTCAAAATAGACACCCCCGAAAAACCAATATCTCTCCCTCTCCGCTCCGCTCTGGCCCCGGGCTCTGTACGGCCCTCCGCCTGAACCGGTCAGGATGGATTGGCCAAAAGTCCAAATTGGTCCAAAGAAAGTCCAAATTGGTCCAAAGAAAGTCCAAATTGGTCCAAAGAAAGTCCATATTAATATTGGTCCAAAGAAAGTCCAAACTTTTGGTTTGCCACTAAAACGATCCTCCCCAAAAAGTCAAAAAGTATAAAAGTCCAGGAACTGAGGAAGTCTGAGATTGGGGTGAAACCGTTGCCTCCCTCTGGAAAAAGATATACAGTATGTGCTTGGACTCGGACTGAATGATGTCACTGAAGGCGAGGCCCTTCAAAAGGTCTGAACACATGCAGCTTTCCCCAGCTGAACTTGCGGCTGGACGGATCCTTGATTCATTCTGGCGTGATCAGGAGTCCACTGGGTTCCTTCTGGCCAAGGCCCTGCTTGGCAGACAACTTTGGTTCCCTTCATTCATGGCCACGCATTTCTTGGCACACTAAGAGTGGGCAGCTTCAAAGGGAGCGCCTCACCCCTGGGCTCTTTTTGGGGGTGTTGGGGGGGTGGCGTGGGTGCTTTTGCAACAGTTGCGTTCACCCGCTACGACAAGTGATTGGCTCAACTCTGCGTCTCCTCCCTGAGTGGATCCGGCCTAAGTACCCTTCCCGTGTTCTGGATTCGGGATATCTTGCATGGCAGGGGGTGTTGATATGTTGCACGGCAGGGGGTGTTTTGTTGGACCTCAAAGGAAAACAACACGCTGGTGAAGGGAAACAAACCTTGGCTTCCGCTTCTTGTTTCATTTGTCCAAGAAAATGAAACATCTCCAGACTTCCAGCGGCCGGGGTAGTTGACTGCCCTTGGAAGAAAAGGGGTTGCCCGAATCTTCTTTGGCCGGATTTCGATGAGTCTTCCCAACCTGGACTAAGAAGAGTAAAACCCCACAAATAGGAACCCTGGATTCTTCTCACCTCCTGGTGAATTAACCCGGGTGTCGCAAGTAGGAGGGAAACCTCTTTTGGTTCGGGGGAAACGCCCCAACACACATCATGCGCTGAGCCGAGACCAACTGCCATGCCCTGCATGGACATGAGCCGATTGAAGGTGCCTTGGCATCGACTTTTTCTTTCATGAGTCTCCCATGTTTCTGGCGAATTGGCCATCCACTGGCCAGTTTTGAGGCCAAACGTGTGCGCATCTGTCCAACCTGTAGACATGGCCGACAAAAAGAAACTCGCTGAACATCACAAGGAACGAAACAGGTGATGTCTAAACCAGGAATCACACCTCAACCCGACAGGACAAAACCGTGCCTTAAAAACACACACACACACACAAGCCTCTAGGTCAAAATGCCAAACCCCCCGCGCCGTGAATCAACCAGCTGTTTGTTCTTCCTAGGTCTCTGGGTTGCCCAACTGCGTATGATTGAAATATCCCAACCAAGGGAACACTCAAATCAATTTTGGCCAAAAGGCGATGCCTAAGCCATCGAAAAACGGCCATAGGGGTGCCTCAACACAAGGCCCCCCGCAACCCATCTGTTAATTTTGTCTCCCTTTCAAAGAACTTCAGCAAAGGCACCGATCCTGAAAAAAACAAAACGGCCCAATCGTATCAAAGAACCTAGAAAAACCCTGACAGGAAACCTGGAAGGAACAGGGATTGAAATGGATCCATGTGACGAAAGTTACTCTTGGCTCAAAGGGAACCCCCCCAACCAGCGAGACAAGCCCTGAAAATGCAAGCCTCAAAAGGTTGCCCATCAAGCCGGGGATTTACTCTGGCCGTCCACCCGGCCACCTCGCAACCCAATTCCACCAGCTTGGCTTTGTCCCAAAACACGGACACCCGCCCATGGCTGGTTTTACTTTAAGATGCTCCTTAAACCTTGACCAGACTTAGACCCCCTGCAGATGTTGCTGGCAAGGAACCATGATGGAAAACCAAAAAGGCAAACACAGTTACAAAAGAAAGTCAAGTCTGGCTGGCGCTTTCTTCGAAAACTAAAACACCCCTCCTTCCAAAAAGCAAACTGAGCTGACCCCCTTAGGGTATATTTTTTTGGACACCCCTGTTTTTCAATGGTAAATAACTCCTTTCTTTGGTACAGGGTCGACCTCAGACCCCGCAAAAACCAACCAGGTGTTATCCGCTTTGAGAGTCACTGACGTGCCCCCTCTCGTGGCCGCGGCAGATCCTTTTTAACACAGCCCTGATTCAAACAGCAAGACGCTGATTTGACCCCCTTACGCTATGTTTTGGACCTGGTTTTCCACGGTAAACAACTCCTTTTGGTAAAGGGTCGACATCAGAGCCTTAACAACGGCAGGTGCTACGGGCTGCCTCCATGGCCTTGAGCTGGGCCAAGGCCTTCCCCTGCTCTTGGGCAGACCTGCCGAATGGGTGCTGTAGATCCCAGACAAAAAGTGAAACTTTTCGCTGGTTGATAGGAAAAATGAAGGAAAATCCAAAAAGTTAAGGTCTAAAGATCCAACCCAATAGCAGTGGAGGAAATCCAGTCTCATCTGCTGACCCCGGATCGGAGTAGAACCCGTCCTATTCACAGGGGCAAAGGTCACCCGATCCAAGTAGAACCCGTCCTATTCAGAGGGGGAAAGGTCACCCACAAAAGTGATGAGTCCCCACTAAAAAAGGAGACAACCCCATTTGTCGCTTTCCTAGTTGTTTGGTTGGGGTGGTTTGGAGGTGAAGGGGCTATCTTCCCATCCCTCAAACTAAGGGGCATATCTCCAATAGTGATATCGGTTCCCTGGGTGATTGAGCCGATAATCTGGAATCCCCCCATGAAGGAAAGAGCAGGCGCCCTTGACCACACTCCTTCGCAAAGATTGGCAAATCCTCCGGGAAGCATCTGTGGGCCCTTTGTTGGAACTTGATTCTGAAATGGGCGGAAAAAACAAATCGCTTTGCTGGATTGGGAAATGACTCTGTGGTAAGGGGCGGAAGGGCTTTGCTGGATTGTGCAATGACCCACTCTGTGGTACTAAGGAGGGCCAGGTGACTGTCCACTCTGTCACTTGCTGCCCTTGCACATTGACCATGGAACCCAAAAACGGGGGTCCCTTAATAGGACTCTCCTCCGCAAAATGGGTGATGTCTGGGTTCCATGTGAATTGGGCCAAAGGGGTCTCCTCTTGAAGAACTTCAGAGGTCTGCGGTTCCAATGTCCCAAGAGCACACCGCAAACATTACTCTTAGACCCCAACACCGGGGTGACTTTTGTTTCCCTTCACCAAAAAATACATCCGGTGTTTCGCCCTCCGAACAATTTCGCCGTGGGCCAAAAATCGTGTAACCCCAAAATGGGTTGCCCTTTCGCTTTCTGGGGAAAAAAGAGACAATATGTCCAAATGTGACATCGATTCCCTGTAACACCACAAAGGGAACATGACACTATGTTTAAGCAAATGGAAGCGTTTTCCCTTTAAAGCCCACAGGGCGAACTGAAACATATTAAAACCAACAGGACGAAATGAAACATATTCCTTCTGGCAACAGTGAAGTCTGGGGAATTAAAAAGAAAAACCATCCCACCAGCTAACATGGAAGTGCACAGGGCCCTGTAGAAAGACCACTTTCCTCTTGGAAAGGGCCTTTTTGCACTTCCATGTTAGTTGGTGGGAGGGTACTCATTTCAGCCAATGGAATTTTTGTCGGGTCTCGGAGCCGGGGTCGGATCAGAGTCCGCATCGGGATCGTTCGCCGCGGCATCGGATCGCTCGCCTCTTCAGCTCCTGCAGCTCAGCCGCCGAGCCTCGAGGCGATTGGTTGACACGGACACGGAGTGGTGCTTGGAGCTGAGGGAAATGGACCACCAACACAAATCAGCTTCCCTCTAATTGGTGGTTTGGGTTGGTGGTTTGGGTTGGTGGTTTGGGTTGGTGGTTTGGGGGTTTGGGTTGGTGGCTTGGGTTGGTGGTTTGGGTTGGTGGCTTGGGTTGGTGGTTTGGGTTGGTGGCTTGGGTTGGTGGCTTGGGTTGGTGGTTTGGGTTGGTGGTTTGGTGGTTTGGGTTGGTGGTTTGGGTTGGTGGTTTGGTGGTTTGGGTTGGTGGTTTGGGTTGGTGGTTTGGGGGTTTGGGTTGGTGGCTTGGGTTGGTGGTTTGGGTTGGTGGCTTGGGTTGGTGGCTTGGGTTGGTGGTTTAGGGGCTTGGGTTGGTGGCTTGGATTGGTGGTTTGGGGGCTTGGGTTGGTGGCTTGGGGGTTTGGGTTGGTGGCTTGGGTTGGTGGCTTGGGTCGGTGGTTTGGGTTGGTGGCTTGGGTTGGTGGCTTGGGTTGGTTGCTTGGGTTGGTGGTTTGGTGGTTCAGGGCTGGCTTTGGTGGTTGAGGTTGCTCCGGTGGCCAAACTTTGGAGTTTGGGGAAATCCCAAAACCAATCAAATGCAGGGGATTAGAGGGTTGAAAAGTGACGTACGGTTTTGGTTGAGTTGGAAGGCATGTTCCCAGCCAAAGTTGAAAGAAAATTGCCTGGGAACTTGAAAGGCCCCTTCGCCAGATCCTTGTAGTTCGGGAGGGGTCCCCCCCCCACAAGGAAATGAAATCACGGGCTGCGAACCCTCCTTTCATGTTAAAATTACGATCGCTCAGCCGACCTTTCGGTTTCGGGGATCAAATTTGACCAAATGTCGCACGCTGGGACCTTGGTGGGTGCGTAACTTGTTCGTCAATTCCTCACAGCCCCATTCAAACTATTTACGTGCTTAATAGCTTCCCGTGAATTCCATTGCGTGGAAACCTCCCGTACCGCGCGTGCGATTCGCTCGGTAACATCGATCGCCGATTCCTGCTCATTAGCTCACTGGGTGCGGGCCAGCCCATGGGAACCACCCTGCAAAACAGGTGTTGGAAAAACACCGATGGGTATATGGCCATGGGTCAAAATCCGAATCGTACCCCCACTGAACATCCAAATCCCCACTAAAATAGGTTCTAAAATAAGTCTTGCACCTACCCCCAAAGGTGCCATTGGTGTTGACCCACATGTGCACAGCCATACCCATTCAACCCATGTTCTTACCTCTGGCTCAAAACAAGACACTGGGAACGGTTTCGCCCGGAACAAATGAGCGGATATGTCCAGTAGTGAATCGATTCCCTTTCACACCAACAGGGGAACATGCAAACTGTTCATTTCGCCAAATGGATGCGTCTATCTTTTGATGTGTATCCTGTTTGGCTGGAGGAAAAACCAAAAAAGGAGAAAACAAAAAACAACTCAAGCCATTTGTGGGGCCCAATTCCGAACCAAAGCAAACCAGCCCGCCTGCAAACCAGCCCGCCGGTGGCCGGGTGCCCGGCTCGAAGCCTTCTCCGTCTCCTTGGCCAAGGCCTGAAGGGAGTCACCCAGCCGGTGCCCCTAAGCTGTGCCTCCAAAAACCGGAATTCCAAAATGGCTTGCCCATTTTGGAAATGGAAAGGACCAGAACCTGCGGTTTGCCCTAGCTGCTTAATTTTGAGCCACACCCAAATCGCGGTGGATGGACGAAATGGAAACCATGGTGGACACCGCCGGATTTTCTCGAAGCTTACCTTTGGGGAATCGATCATTTATCATTCCAGGGGTTCAGTTTCTGAACTGGTGGTGCGGATTCAAAAAAAAAGGAGAAAAAAAAAGCAAACAAACCTATCAAAAAGTCAAGGTGGAATCCGTACTTAGATTCCGTGGGCAAGGTGAGCGTCTGGCATTGAGAGGGTGTTTTTCCATTTGCCCGCCTCCCCATTTCAGTTTTTCAGTATAAAGGGTGTTTCCCTGAGGTGAGGGTTTACTGGCCAGAAAAACCACACCAAATTCTCACCATCTGCCTCTCTCTAACAATATCTGCCCGTCTTTCACTGCATTAGAACTTTGCTCAGGATCAGAACGAGCCAAGCCGCGGCGGGCCCTGCGAAAAGGCAGCTTGCCGGTCAAAAGGGAGCTTGCAAAGGAAAACCAAGGCCAAAGGTTCGAACAGCAAGCCGAGTCTGGCAAAAGGTTCACTCTCTTGTGCGGTGGCTTGGTCGCTCGCTAGGGACGATGGCCCATTCACCAATGGATTCTTACAGTACCGAAAGCTATCTCAGATGAAGGAGCAACAGCACTCCTCCCATATCCGTCTGATGAACTCCAAACACGTTGTTTGAGATGCCGCCTCATATGGCGGTGGGTCAAAAATAGGTACCCAAAGTGGAACCCTGGTAAATGGAAAGGACGACTAAAACCTGCGGTCCCCCGGTGGTTTAATTTTGACCCATACCCATGTTTAGTCACCCCCCCAACCCAAAACATGAACAGAAACATGGGTACGTGTTTTAAAAACGAGCACCCGATAAATGGGTGCTGTTCCTTTTGGTCTCCAACTTTTAAACGACCCTGCCCTCGGGGTAGCCTCGACACGACACCCAAATGCTTTGGAATCAACCTCCACTCTGGGTTAGAGGATGGAAGTCCCCCATCGTCCAACCCGTCTGGTCTTAAGGGCATTCTTACGGGGTACATGTTTTCATGTTTCTGGGTGATGTTTTACAGATTTCACCAACCTGAAATAAGGTGGTCGGGGAACTATTCCCTACATAAACCACCACTTGGGGTGAATTCGGTCGTGTGAGGTCGTTATGACTCACCCAGATGTCTTGAATGGTCCCTCGACGTGCAAAACCATTCTCCGGGCCCAGGAGAACTCAGCGAAGCGCAGTGGCTCTTGATCCCTAGAAGTTCAGAAGTCAAAGTTAAGTCTTCAGGATATGTCATAAATCCAACCCATGTCACGGGCTAGCATCCCCTGAACAGAAAGAACATTTACATGGAACCTCAAACAGGGTTGCAACCAGAGATTCTACTGAGAATGGGGGTTCAGAAGTTCAGAAAACCCTTAATTGGTGGTTTCGATTGGTGGTTCGGGGATTTGGACCCCTCAACAATAAATTTAAACCCGTCCTTAAGCCCGAAACCACCGATCCGAAACACCAACCGGAGCCTGGTTCTTGTAGACGGTAAATGGGAAATCCCTCCAACAACCACCAAACCACACCACCATTTGCTTAAGTCCCCTGGAAAAAAAAACACATATTTCCGATCGTCAACTCGATTCCCTTTAAGACTGCTGGAAATAAAAAGACATCTTAACCAGATGGAAGCACCCGACCCCCCATTGGCGAGTGGGAGGGTCAGCCGACGGATCTCAGTCACGAGAGCTCCGTGCCTGTTCGGCCTGCGCCCTGAGACGCCGCTCCTCCTCGCCAGCTTTGGCCTCAAAATCTGCGGCGATTTTGCGAGCACATGGCTTCTGACTCGACCTCTCGTTGCTTGGTGCTTCAAGGGAACAAGTAAACAAACCATTTTAGGAAATGGAGAGATTCCAAGTTGGAGAGACGCCCGGCTGCAGAGGATACAAGTTCTCGGTTCAACTGACTTAGAGCCACCATGGAAAGGGGCAATCAAACCTAGCTTATGGTCGGGACTGTCACCTCAACTCCAGGTCTCAACTCGGGATGCTTTGATCACACCCGCCCCAAGCACGCCAAACGGAAGGCGTGTTTTGGGGTGGTGTTGGCGGGGGGTTTGGGGGCCGGGATGGTAGAAGCAGGTGTGTGAATTTTGCCTATGCTCACGCGTTGCAGCCCAGCCATTCATGCGCCACCGGATTGCGTCTTGTCCGGAAAACTCCAACCACTGAAAAAGAATTACAACTGAATCTGACGAAGTATCCCCAAACAAGTCCCGTAAGTCAGATGCTATTCCCTGCAACAGCTTGACTGTAAACACCCTCCGTGCTGCCTGCTTAGCCTGCTGGCCCGCGATTGCGCGAGCGAATTGGCCCCTATTGGCCACTTGCTTGTTGGGGTGTGAAGCTTCATTTTCTCAACGAGCGAAGGATAAACAAAACAAAGGCAATGGCGTTCAAGGGTTCCCTTGAAATGCAACCAGGTAGTTTGTCGGAAGTCAGTCCCACCCCAATCCAATGACTGAGGTCCTTTCCCAGAGATTCCTGTAAGCTGGTTCCAGGTCATTCACCCTTTACAGGTTGCACGCAGACCCGTGGACTCGCCCTTTACACAGGTTGCCTGTTGGGAATCACCGGGTACCCATTCAACCCATGGTTTCCTGAAGAACGAGGGGCCCCAGGGAGTGCACCATCACAGTCCACTATGAAAGTCACCTCCCTAAGTCATAGGCTAAAGGATGTTACAGGGGAAACACCCCCAGCTGACTTTGATGAACCCCAGAATAAGTATGCGTGAGTGTCGCGGCAATCTCAGGCTTTGCTGCGGGGACGCAAACAACGTTGCATGAAACGTAAAAGCAGCAAGACCATACCTTGGGTGCTGTAGATCCCCCGAGCAAAAGTGATTAACTGTTTGCAGGTTACAAGGAAAAAACAAAACGGGTATCCAAAAGTTAAACTTCTATTTGCTTAAGTCTCCTGGAAAAATGAAAATATGTCCAGTAGTGAAATCGATTCCCGTACAAAGCAAACATAAAAAGCATATTCTCAAGCAAATGGAAGATGCCCAAATCACTTCGTGTTGGAATCAACCAATTTTGCGGGATTCTCTTGAAGGAAACCACCAGTTGGATGGTTTTCCGGATGGTTGTTGTCAAGCAGATGGAAGTAAAGTCTCTCCAGATCCAACCCAAAAGCAGCACATAGATACGTCATCCGTCTCAAGGAAAAGCGGCGCCTGCGCCTCCAGCCGGGCGAGGCTGTCCTGCAGCTCCTGCTGCTGGTCCTCACCGATTTTGAGGGCGGCGGGGGGGATGAAGGCGAAGGAGATGTCCAAAACCCCCCACCCCGTACAATTGTACTGCTAATATGTAATTGTATATATGTATATATGTGTAGGTATACATAATTCACCCTTCCGTGTTCAAATATTATATATTGTACCATGTATAATATATATATATATATGTATACATGTATACATATTCTGCGAAGCCAGCCTTGACCCTTGCATGAAGGCGGGGACGCCCAGGGATCCCAAAAAGCAAACTATCGAGAGGGATTCTTTTATAACCCCCCCCCAAAAAAAAAACACAACCTGCCAGGAACCAACCATGGACCCTCATCCTGCCAAATCCTGCAATCGTGGTGTGCGAAACCTGGCCTGGTTTGGGGCGGATCAAAAAGGCCAAACCGAGCAAAACGGGTACCCATGGGTGCCCACCCGGATTGGTGCATCCTTTGCCTTGGTGTTCTCCTTCTTCATCACATCAAACACCAGCGTCGAGCTGCGAATCCCCTCGCGTAAACCGGGCCCCGTACGCCTTCAATACTAATACAGTTGCATGAAAAACGTCCAAAACCAGAAAACGAATCCCCCCACGAGCCAAGGAACACATCCATGTCGTTTTACTTTCGAATTGGTGGAATCGCTCGCCAACTCCGCATGGACCACATCTCTCAGGGATGGCTTCGGATCCGTCACGTCAGCTTCGTGTTTTTTCTCCAAAGCAGGGGCATACGGGTGTTTTTTTCCTTTGACCCGGGAACCCAAACTTGGTTGCTTGCTGCTCCCCTGCTAACAGTTTTTAACTTTTAGTGGTTTCATTCGGCAAACCCATCAGTTGGCAAAGAGCTAAAGTCCTAACATCCCTTGGCAAGATGCAGCTCTGAGATGGCCTCCTTCCGTGTGCTTCCCCCATGGCTGGGCCGCTTGCCTCCCCGACCGGACTGGGACAAGCGCCGAAGCCCCGCGGATCGATCGATCCTGCAGCTGCTGCTGGAGATGCTGCTTCTCCGACTCCAGAGACTGCAGCTGCTGTCTGGCAAAGAAAAAAGTTGGGAGAAAGGGGGAGCTTGGTTTCTGTTGACCCTGCAAAAGTTTAGAACTTTTGGGGGGCATTTGTGGAAAACCCCTTGATTTCAACCAAAAAGTCAAACCCAATAGCAGTCAAGGCTTGCTCTCACTTCCGACGGTTCCGATGGCCAAAAGTCCACTCTTCACTCTTTGCCACCCAAATGGCGCACACCACCAAAAAACCAGAGGAACTCGGGGACTGAGTTTTTGGCTGATTTAAACCGATTTCTCGCCCGAAAAATGGAACAACACTGGATGTGTTTGGCGTCTGGACTTGCGTTCCAAACTGGTCCAGCCAAACTCTGTGAAGTCCTGCTGGGGAGGTGTGTTCAACGCGATTCTAGGGGTACCTCCCAATTCCATTCTTTCCAGGGATCCTTCTTTCTAGAAAACCTCCAGAAACCTGGGGAAAACGGCTGGTTTTCGAAAAAATAAATGGTTGAAAAAAAACAACGGAGATCAACCCCTAGAACGATCCTCAGGTCCCCTTGGTTCTGATCCGCTGCCAGGCCCACAGACTCTCCCGCGACCGTCACATCCGAGCCGCGAGCCGTGACTTCCAAACGCTTGATGTCTCACTTGAGTGGACGCCCAGTGACCAAGTGCCAACTTCTCCACATGAAAAAATGGTCCAAGCCCATAACCAAGTGACCAAAGTACACTTCTAAACTCGGAAAAAAATGGAAAACACGTACACCCTCAATGAAACCTTTACCAAGCAACTCGCTTTCAGAAGGCCGCCTAAGCTTCTCGCGCTCCTCGAGGCCAGACCTGCGTTTGGAAGAGATGAGCTGAGTCCGGTGAAATCGATCCCCCCCCAAAAAAAAAAAAAACAGGCGCCAAGAATAGAAAAGAAGAGTTTCGCTTCAGCACAAGGCTTGGGCTTGTGCTGGAAAAAAGGGAACCCTGGCGAGCTTTGCTGCGACTGAGAGCCCCAAAAGGTCAACTGGTTGCAGGTGGAAAGGGAAACTGAAGGAAACCCAAAATGGCAAAAGGCTGAGAAGGTAACCCAAGTCTGGCATTTGACAAAGGAAACCAACTTCGCTACTGTTTCAAAGCCAAAACGGAACCTAACAGCTGCCGAGAGTCCATAATTTCGAGACACACCCCAAACCAGGGGAAATCGACGCGTGAGACGTTTGACGACAGAAACGACAGTAAACCTGTACTTCAAAGGGCGTTGGAGCCCGCTTCAAACTTTGGGCTTGTCTCTAAGTAAGGGACCCCCCTGAAACGGTTGGTTTGCTGTTGGTTTCCTGGCAAAAGAAACCCAACAGATGCATCCTGAAAAAGCGACACACCCATTGTTCGAACAACGTTCGGATCCCCGCCATAAGATTTGGGATGGGACGGTGGGACCTTTCCAACAATCCGCTGCATTTGTGAGAGGTGAATGAATGCACGTGTTCATCACATTGGACATGACTGATGGAACATTTTCGACCCTTGCACATACCCTCCCCATCTGGCAGGGGATCTGCGGCGAATGGGTGTGCCCGCGCACGTCTAAGACTACGTGTTGTGGGTACCCCCTGAACGCGAAAAACCTGTATGCCATCGTCAACTAGCAAAACAGCCGTACAAGAGGATGACACGGGCGGATTTGGATCGCTCGGGGGGCTGTTTCTTCCCTTTTACAAGGCTTGATCAAAGTCGCCGACAGCTGCCAGGCCGTTGTTTCTTAAAAGTTGGCACTTTTCCCTCAATTCCCAGTTAACCCCTCTTCTTGACTGCTATTGCGTTGGATCTTTAGACTTTTACTTTGTGGTTGAAATCAAGTTGGGTTTTCCACTGAACCCACAAAAAGTTAAAAGTTAATCAAAACTTTTTGCAGAGGGGTCAACAGCGACAAAGGCTTAACCTGGTCGGTTCCTTGGTCATTCTAGCATGCTGACTGGCCTTGATATCTTGACATTTTCGCTGCTGTGAAGATCGGTCTTGCTTTCCTGCTGCTCCTTTGGCGAACCCTAGTATTTAACCACGGAAAAGGACAATGCGTCCGAATCTATGCGTCTAACTTCTAAATGGGCACCATCAATTTGGAAAGCCCCACAAACACCAATCAGCACAGATTGCCCTGGCTAGGGCTCTCTTTGGAATCCCAGGTTGATCCCAAACTTGGCCCACATCGTTTGGAACCCTTTTCGGGTGTGACCTGGGACCTGACAAACCTAGGAGGCGTCCAACCACAAAAGAAACATGGTATGAATCGGAATTGGGAACTGGTGAACATCATAAAAGACTTGTCCCACCACTTGTGCAGGCGCTCACTCTCTTGACCTGGACTCATCGGGAGGGCGCAATATGTAGGGCATCCAACATATCTCTCCGGGTTCCCTTGGGAGCAAACCTTTTTGGGTGTCCTCCCGTCGCGAGATGTTTCGCGCAACCGAGCCACGATGTCAGCTCTGCGCGGGTTTCCTCTCCGCCGCTCTGGAGCTCTTGCCTAGGTTCTCACATGATTTGTTTGTGGAAAGAAATGGGCGCAAATCGCTAGACCGGTCATGGCTATTGGGTAAATGACATGAAAAGCACATTTGTACCATGTTAAATGTCACAAACGAGTTTGTCCAAGATGACCATTGGATAAGGTTCATCATGGTCATGGGGTGCTTTGAAGCCACATTTGGTCACTATTCTAGATGGAAACGATTAGTCAATATCTTGTCCCTCACATTTACCTGACATCGGTGATAAATACTGAAGACCATCCTGTACTTGTGTGATTCCAAAGTACTTTGCCATGCTTCAGTGGGATTTCCTTGGAGTCACAGAATGTGGCAACCTAAACCCATGACCATGCGCTCGGTGGCTTCACCCGGCGAAACCGGTCGCATGGACCGCGCCACACCGGGTCGGTGACTAAACGTTTTTGGTACCACCGAAGTGAGCTTTTCGGGACGTTTTCTCTCTATAACTCGCTAAAAGCTGGACTTCGTGATCACAAGCGAAGTCCCCATTCTGTGGGGCCCGGGTGACGTTTTGGCCAAGTTCCACCTGACGTATGAACTGAGGGACATGCGCCATTCAGGTGGGATGGTAATCAGTGCACAGCAAACCATCCTCGGCCAAAAAAGACGTGGCGATTGCAAAAACCAAGATCCATATCAAGGCCCCCTTCCCTCATTCCCCTGATTTTTGTTTCCTTTTCTTTTATATCTTGCTCTAGGCGGCCGCTTCTGTCTGCCCACGTCGCGCCAGTTCTCCCTTTGAGCCCCCGGCAACAAAGCCTCAAAGCGCAAGGAGAAGGCTTTGCAACAACTTCGACTTGCATCAAAACGGCGATTCCCTAAAGGCATACAACAATGGGGCCAGGGCTCGAAGGCACCTTTGATCGGAGCTTGGATCAAAGGCATTGGGCGATCTAGCTGGCGATTGGGATTGGAAGGGCGCTCAACAATGTGAGCTGCTGGATATTTCTTGCCTTACCTCTGACTTCGGAGGTCAGTGGGGCATCTACATTCGAGGATGTCGCAAAGTTCTGGTTGGAAGCCAACGGGGCACCGGCTAATTTCAGGCCATTGTTGGAAAATACAGGTGAGAGCCTTCCTTTATGGTCACGGAAGGTCCCTTATTGTTGTCAAAGGTGCCTTGTTGGGGGTGATGGTTGCAGTTTAGACATAGGGCCAGAGTTTGTCATGTGCTTTGGACATGGTCGGAACATATTCAGGTAACTCTTTCGTGGTTTGGCTTGCCTTACCCTCCCAAATCCACCAAGTAACCCGAGATTCACAAAGGGCCCATCTTTGCCCGTGATACACTTCTCGACAGAATCCGGAATCGGAATTGAGGGAGCATGGCACCCCTTTCTTTCTCGACGTACTGCGATTTCAGCTGAAATGACCAGCGTGCTACTTCTTGAAACAGGATTCATTGGAGAAAAAGCCTTGCGGGGTCACTCAATTGCTAGCATTTTGGATTCGGGCCGGCCAGTTGCTTTTTTGGGGGAGGCTCTCGACGTGCCAGTTGTCAGGCACCGCAGAATCACTTCCTATTCATAAACCTACCCCTAATAGTGAAACCCCCCTCAGCCGCGCCAGCCCTCCCGAGACCACACATGTTTTCCACCAAGCTCTCAAAATGTGCTCATTGGGGTCCCCCCCCCCTCCATATTGTGTTGAGACAAGAAGGTTTCAAGCTCTGAGTCCAACAGAAACAAGCCCCTTTCCGTTGCAATTCCAACTTGCTACTCAAAAGTTGCATCCTAAGCATGTTTTCTTTTAAACCAAAGGGTTGTCTTGTGCGACAAGGTTTGGTTATTAAGGTTTTGTTAGCTCGTGGGCTGTCCTCCTCAAACCAAGAAAACAACTCCCCAAACAAGGTTCATTATTAGAGTCCGTGCGCCAACGCCAAACGTTCCAAGAATTTCACAACGGGAATGTCCCTTTCAGAGTTCTTACTTAAAAGTTGCAATCTGAGCGTTTTCTCCTCCACTTTCCAACCTCCGAGGCTTTCTTTTTTTTGATCAGGGGGGGGACGTTTTTTTTCAGGGGGAAGGGATTCAGACACGCGGATCTATGGCACGGCCGGGCATCTTATGTTTCAGACGAGGTGCTTTTGCTTGATTTGTTCGGGATATGTCCAAGACAGGTGATCTTGCTTAACCATGCAGAAAGGGACATTGCCATTTCTCATCCCCATCTCTCGCACGATGGTCTCTCCCGCTTCGCCTCCCGCGACTGCAGCGCCTGCGCCGGGGGGGGGGGGGGGAGCACCAGAAGACGAAACTAAGTTGCCAGATCAAATCCCGTTTTACAAATAAGCTCCAAATTTAATCCAGCTCAGCAGGGAGGTCCGAGGAAGGTATGCCCTCCCCCCTTGCAATGCTATTTGTGGAGCTCGTCTGTCTGGGGTTAGCCTTGATGCCTCATCAAGAAGCACCGCTTACGCATCTTGAAAATGGAGTATTGTTGGGCCGTCCCCCCAACCCCAGGCGAAGGTGGAACAAACATCCCAGGCCGTTTCCAAAGTCCACTGACACATCAGACCCCAAGCACCAACAAAACGGAATTCCAAAACCTACCTTCCGGCTGCAAAACATCTCGCCTCCCCAAGAGAAACGGAGGCCCCAGCCTTGGTCCACATCTTCAAGTCATATATATATATATATATATATATTTGCTTCTGTCTGTCATCTTTAGGCACTACAAGACATAAACCATCCAGCTTCTGGGAGAAATCTGTTGGTGAGTTCTCTGTTTCATCTTGAGTAAGCCAAAGATATGACACAAACACATCGCTATTCTGGAAGGGGGAATCTGTTGACCCCAATTGGTGGAATCCCTCCCCCATAAACATCCCGCAGCAAAGAACTGCCTTGAATAAGGCAAACATGACCTAAACCTCGGGATCTTTTGACGAACAAACTAAAAACGGTTGGCATTGGTGGAATCCCTCCCCACACTTTACATTCATTCACCCAACCCCTCTTATAAATATCAATTGAACCCATTGACGGAAAAATGGGAGAGGGGCCCTAAAACTGACCAAACAGACGGGTCTCGTCAATTCGGGGCTCGGGGCTGAAGCACATTTGACACCCCCGAAACCCAAATCCAACTCCCACCCCGCTACGGGGCCTCCTGCGCCTGAGCCAAGGCTTTGCGCGCCTCCGCGAGCCTTGCGGAGGCAGCGGCCGGTGGCTAACTCGGGGGTCGTTTTTTGCTCGAAGCCCTGGCTGGCGGAATACTCCTGTCTCTTCATATGGCCATGGGTCAAACCAGTGAACATCCCAATCCCCACTAAAATAGACTAAAATGGGTGGTGCAACTACCCCGAAATGGTACCATTGGTTTTGACCCACAGCCATCCTCTTCCTCTACCCTGTGCGCTTGCTGGCGCGAGAGGGAATGGCTGTCCGAGCCCGGGGCTTGGGGAAGGAATGAGGGGATGCCCGAATCGATTTGAAAGCATAGGACATGGATGGTGCTGCAGTGCTTTTCGGGGGGCATGACAACGAGTCCGGGTGGAAGGGGATTCTCGAGGAAAGGAAACCGGACAAGTTGGAGGGTCTTTTTCGGGGTCATTCCAGTTTTCTGCAAAGAACCATCAAGAAACAGTGGCCCCGCAAAATGGCAACAGCGTTCTTTTTGGTTCCGTATAAAACCGCCAAAAGGGGGTCCGAAACCCATTTTAGGGTTGCCATGGTTACCCTCATACAAAAATGATGATAAAGTTACGGAGGAAACCTGCCAAGTAAGGGGACCTACCAGTTGGAAGCTCCATTTTAGGGTTCGGAACCTCCGTGAAGAGCTGACTCTGAAGATGGCAAAGGTCGTTTTCCGAAGGCCGGAAAAGATGATCTCCCAATCTTGGTTGCTGTAACGATCCCTGTGCACAAAGTGAGACCCGTTGTCTTGTTTCCAGTCCCGATGCGGCGGCACGCTATGCCCGTACAGCCGTTGGAACTGGCCCGCCATGATCATGATGTCGCCTGGCCTCTGGTACTATATTGTTCCATGCGGGCTTGTCTCTCTTTGCCACGGGGCGGCTTGGGTCGAACCCCCAAGATCGACCCCGTGCCGAACGAAATGCTCGTGATGGGGTCGCCCGGCGAGTATTCTGGGCTCTCGTCCGTGTGCAAATTGATGCGGTGGTTGCTTCCGGGCTGTACCGACTCAAGTACGCGTTGAAGGTCCCTGGCCTCACGTACCACAGCCCCAGATTGCTCATCTGGTCATCCAGGACCTGCTTTTCTTGGGGAGTCGTGGGTTGAAAAGGCCTGAGTGGGGTTGACTAGATTAGCGCAGGCAAGGCAGATGCCCCACACATGAAACAAGTAGAGGCTCAAGTGCAGGTGTTTTGCGTCAGTATAACCAAACCTTCGCAACGAGACTCAACCCTCAGCAACATTCAGTCACCCCCTAACAAGCGGGTTGCTTCCTTTCAAATTCCCTTTGCGCTTGAAAGAGGACTTGTCCTCCATTTTGAGAATCTGAGCCCCAGTCCCATTGGGCATGTGGAGGAGGTGGCTCTACAAACTGGTACTTGCTGCATGGCGATTTGGTACCGGATCTTTGGACTTTAGCTTTTTGCTAAAATAGTTCTGGACAAGCCCCCAACGCTTGGTCGTATTTGAGGTGCGCATTCTACTGGTCTGCGGCCCGTTGGCAGGTTGGCTCAGAAACCGCCAGGAAACACACCCGGGACAGACCACTCAAATGCTCGTGGGACTCACTTGCTTAAAGAACTCGGAAACAAAAAAAAACAACCTGCGGGCAACCTTGAACAACAATTGGCCCAACTAAAAAAGGCATCTTTAATTGTTTAGCAAACATATTCTCATCAAAATGGGGCAGCATTGGGCCAACGGATGAATGCGCTTGGGGTCGAGGATGTTCGTAGGGCAAAAGTCTGGGGCAACAGCCGTGAGGGCGACACAAAGGCCACGAACGCCACACAAAAGCACACACATGCTGAAAGAGAAACGACAAGACTCGCAGGAGCAGCAAGAAAGACAAACCTTGACAACAAGGACAAACACAAGAAAGAAGAGAAACAAGAAAAGGAAAGGAGGAAAACACAAAAGAGAGACAACAAAAGAACAACACAAAAGAGAAACAACACAAGAAACAAAGACAAGAACGGACTGGATGGCCCCTGTCAATCTTTCAAGCACGGGCCCTGGGCTTCCCGGCTCAGACTCCCCAGCCTCCGCTCGGGATGCACGGTTGCAGGTACACCAAATCAGACTGGCTCATCAGGTACGACTATATGTGTGTATATAGATATTATATATATATATACGTAAGAGGCTGTGGGTCAAAAATAGGTACCCAAACTGGAAACCTGGTGAATGGAAAGGACAAAAACCTGCGGTACCGTGGTTTTTGACCTTAAATATGTGTATATATATATATATATATCTATATGTATGTTGCCAAGCCCTTCACATGGATTCTCGAGATGGGAGCCCTTTTCCTGGTAGCTCCCTGACCATCCCTACCAACCCGGTGCCCGTGACCCGTTGCCCGGCTTAGAAGGTAAACCTTGGCAAGCCTTCTATGCTTTTGTCCCCTGCAAAGAAATACAAAAGATCCAGTAGTGACAAGTTCCCTTTTAACACCAACAGGTGGAAATGAACATAGGTTCTTAAGCAAATGCAAGTTGGCAAGCCTTGGCTTTTGAACACTTCTCCAAACAATCAGCTTTCGGTGACCCTGTACAAGCCGATTTCGCCCAGTTCTTCAAACCGATTTTGGCCAGGTGCCAACCTTCAAGAATGGAACCTACTTGGCTTAGTGGTTAGACACCACGGGGACTCACGACAGAACCCAATCTGCCAGCCGAAAGAAGGTTGTCCCCCTAAAAGTAACTTTCATTCATCGCTGGCAAACGCTCCCAAAGGCCACGCAATGCCTTCTGTCTTTGCCTCAATGGCTGTTTGCGATCTGGCCCCCGAATGCGACTTTCACCGCAGCCTCTAACAATAGGAAATGGGGGGGGACTTGCCAACTCGTGAAGAGCAACTGTCAACCTGTGAACCAACCTGTGAACCCACCTGTGTCTTTAAACAGCGGGAGGGGGGGGGGAAGCCACGTGATTCATTGAATTTTCTCCTTGGGGTTTCCAACCAACCTGGGAATTGTTCAACCAAAAAGCTGTGGCTCGAAGAACCGGTACCAAAATGGAACCCTGGTAAGTGGAAACATGGACCAAAGCCTGCGTAACCCCTCCTGTTTAATTTTGAGCCACACCCAAAAGGCCCCAGTGATTCTTTGCATTGTCCCCTTTGGTCCGCTTTGGTTTTCCTTTGAACCCACCCCCAACACCGGGTCCAAGCAAAAACACCCAACCCCCACCTGGGACGCCTCCGACTTGAGCTTCAAAGCCTCCGCCTGCCGTCCGCTCGGTTTTTTGGCCCTGTCTCAGGTCATTTGGGATCCTGGGGATGGCGTTCCTTAAGGTCCTTTCCATCGACGCCATCGGGTTTAGCCCGTGATCCTTGGTGGCTACCCTAAAATTGCAGGAATTGGTGTTTCTTTGAACTCAAGAGGGTAGCAACTCCAAGAAAAAAACGCACCCGAATAGATAGTTCAAACCATCTTTGGAGAGCTCTGGCGCCAGCTTGTGCGCGATGGACCTTTCTTTAAGCCTTGGTTTTGCTTAAGACCCCTGTTTCAAACCTCTCTGCTCGAAAGCTATGTTGGAGACTTCTTGTCGACTTTCGGAGGTGGGGCATTCATGGAGAACCACACAGCAAGAAATTCAAACGGTGAAACCGACACCGAGACATAAATCAGGTCCCGAGAAAGAGTGCTTCCCTGCAAACACCCCAAACGGGCAGGCCAACTGGGTGTGTCTATTCAAGAGGAAAAAACGTGTTTTTTTCTTTTTGGTTTGCCGGCAAAACCACAAAAACAATCTCGAAACCCCCCAAAAAAAGGCAGTCGGCAGACCCCCAACTCCAAAAAACGCATGGGATCCTTTCTGCGTGGTTCTGGCTCGCCTTTTGGCTTTTGGGTGGTAGTTGGTGTTCAACTCCTCCCCCCCCCCAACCAAAAAAAAACACAAACAACAACAAAAAGGAAGAACAACTTCCCCCCCCCCAAAAAAAAAAACTCCCCCCGACGCCGCCTAACCGGCCCCCCCCTTCCCCCGGCGCCTGGCTGGCCTCCAGCTGCTCTTTGAGGCTCCCGAGCTGCTCCTCCAGCTCCGCCTCAAGCTTTCGGTCCGGGGCCAAAATCTTGGCGGGGAAGGTGACGTGGCTGTGGCTGTCAAAGCCCTATATATGGCTGTGGCTCAACAAACCGGTGCCAGAATGGAACCCTGGCAGGTGGAAAAAACGGACCAACACCTGCGTAACCTCCTCCTGTTTAATTTTGAGCCACACCCATATAATATTTGACCACATGTGTCATTAAGACTTTCTTTATCCGGTGAACATCAAAATAGGTGGCAACTGGATGTTCATCCACCCCAAAATGGAGCATCGCCATGGCTTATGCAACCCATGGCCACATGGAATGAAGCCATGTGTCGGCCCAGGAAACTTCAGTGGGATGGTTTTGAGCGGGGCATTCCCTCCTTGAACAGCAAGAAAAATGGCTGTGCTGGTCACAAATGGTTGGTAACCGCGGAACCAATGGGGAAAAAAAACAACGAGAAGGGAGAAAAACAACATATGTTAGATCCAAAAGGCTTCTTTCCTGGGATGGTCTTCTCAGGGAAACCAAGACCAACTATGGAAAAACAGCAACACGGAAAAAGAAGCCAGAACTGGGTGCTCCTGTTGGTTTCCCTTAGGGTGTTTGACCATTTTGCGATCGGTGCCCAGTAGGGAATGCCCGTTCCGCTTGTTGGGAATGAACCGGATCCGGTTCTTCCCGAATAAAGGAAGCCAGATCGGATGGATGGTTTCTCTCGGGGTCATCTGAACCGGTTTTAGGGGGTTCCCGAACAAAGGAAACCACCAATTGGATGTTTTCTTTTTCGGGGTCATTCTCGCATGCACCGATTTGTGAAGGCCTCCCTGCTTCCTTTTTTGCGTCTTTGCCCCCAGGAAAAATGAAAAATTTATTCCGACAGTGAAACAGCCATTAAAACAAACAAGGGAAAATACAGAACACTCATTTGGCCGTGGGTCAAAAATAGGTACCCACAATGGAAGCCTGGTAAGTGGAAACATGGACCAAAATCTGCTAGGCTTTGGATGGTTTTACGGGGCAAGCAAAAACGAGCTGAACTAGGAACTCCATCTTGAGAAACACCCAAATGGAGGCTCAAAAGGCAGAACATATTGCGAGGAACCGGGAGAAGGACCAGAGCCAAAAGCAAATGGGCAGGACCTGCCAACTTCAAACTCTGCAAGCCCTGCAGTTTGCTTCTCGAACTGGCCGGGTCCGTAATGGGGGAGAACCAAGGGCCCCACCCCACCCCATCCCACCCCACCCCACCCCAGCCCAGCCCACCCCACCCCACCCCACCCCACCCCACCCCACCCCACCCCACCCCAGCCCAGCCCAGCCCACCCCACCCCACCCCACCACCCCACCCCACCCCCCCACCCCACCCCACCCCACCACCCCACCCCACCCCACCCCCCCACCCCACCCCACACCCCACCCCACCCCACCCCACCCCACCCCACCCCACCCCACCCCACCCCACCCCACCCCACCCCACCCCACCCCACCCCACCCCACCCCACCCCACCCCACCCCACCCCACCCCACCCCACCCCACCCCACCCCACCCCACCCCACCCCACCCCACCCCCCCATTATAACAAACAGTAAAAGTATATTCATTTCTTATTTTTGTACTTTTGTATAATTATTTATTAATATTAAATTTTAAATAATCAAATTTATCACACCACAATATAACTTTTCTAAACCCCAAGTCCTTAAAATAAACATTAATTATATTATGATTTTTTCTAAAAAATGAATTAATTATGAATGAAGGTACGAATGACTGATGGACGGCCCAGTCTAAATAAGTCATAAATACGTTCATAAATAAATTTAAAATTTAAATTGTTGTCTTTTTTGTATAAATAAATATTAAAACTTTTATATTCTTTATATTGTTATTTTTTTTATAAAACTACTGTAGTAGCTTATTAAAAAGAACAATTATAAATATATGAAATAAATAATGAATTATATTCGTAATATTTTTCGTAGTTGGGAAGTAGCTCATATAATTTAAGAACAAGTAATGGAATGCATGATTTAGGACAATATTATAGAACCCAAATTAAAAGATATCATTCTTGTTCCTACACTGAAAACAGGTGGATTTTTTACATTAGCAATAAAATATTCAAAAAGACATAATAAAAAATATTAACTGGAAAGAACAAAACATAAAATATTGGATTGGTTGGAATAATACCAGATGAATTAAATAATGTAAATTTAATAGAAAATACACTAAAAAACTATTAAATGAGAACTTATATAAATAACGATGAATTAAATTTAGAAAAAAAGAAAATATAGTATATTTTTCATTAATTTTTAACTTTTCCCGTCGCCATTTTGGCTCAAGATCGTTGTGAATCACAAAACTTTGCACCGCACCTATGTTGCGGGCTTTTCATGATTTCACAGCTCGTCGTCCTCACAAAGACAGAACCTCCGAGGTAATTACTGGGGGTCCATGCGAGGTTGGAAGGGAAACTCAATGGTACTGGTGCCCAACAAAACACAGTTTTGTTAAAATGCAGATTCGTTTCTTTTGTCCACATGACAGTCAGTTTGCAGTGGAATTAAGCATGTTCAATGGACAGGAACAACTCATTCCACCTGGTAAATTGATTATGCTTGTGACAGTGCTTCCGTCGGATGGCGAATACAGTTACTTGTGTCGTGAGGCAACAGAGAGAATTAGCAAAACAGGGAATGTTTGCTGGGATCTTGTGAAAGAAGGTAAGATTCTCACTGTGTCACCTCCAGATGAAAAAATATTTGATCAATGTGACTACATTCGCGACGTCGTTGCATTTCATACACCAGGTACCACCAGGAATTTTTCGCTTTTTTGAAAAAATGAAATCCCGAAAAATATTTATTTATTTTTTTAATTAAAAAATACTATTATTATTCAATAATATTTATGTTACAGATTTTTCATTAATCGATTCAATTATACTTTCTTTAAAAAAAATAAAATTTGTATTGCATCAATTCAAAAAATAATGTTATATTTACAATAATGAATTAATTGATTATTTAAAGGAAACATATGTATTTATTAAGATTATAATAAAAAAATGAAAATATTATACATGTTTTTGTTTAACACTAATACATATCACCGTAGCCATTTTGGCTCAAGCCTTCAAATATCATGGCCTCGTTTTTTGCAAGAGATATTTTAGATAAATATACTAATATCCTATATACGACAGAAACAACGTTTTCAAATGGTGAAAAAGACTTGGTATATCAATTGTATACTGTTCTTCCAGTAAACATTTCACATTATCTTAAAAATGATGAAGAATTTAAGGAATATTTTACTAAAAAGAAAAAGAAGAAAAAGAAGATATATAGATGCCATATTACGAGCATCAATATCACGTTAGAACTTTTTTAAAAAAAGATGATATGCATATAGAAGAATACTATTTAACAAATTTTTCTTGTGGTGATAATACAAGTAATTATTATATGTCAAAAAACAAATACGATATTGACTTTTAATTTTGATTTTGATAATGAACATAAAACTATTTCTTTCTTAAAAGCTAATGATTATATGTGGTTACATATAGAAAATTTAATTGGTAATGATGAAGATACAGAAAATTTAGAATATACAGAAAAATCAAAATTTGTTGAGCGTGTATATACTGAATATAAAATTATTGATACAGTAGTTTTATAAAAAAAACAATTTATAAGAAATTTAATCATTTTCCACTAAAAAATTAAGAAATAAAAGTATAAAACTACTTGTATCTATGAAATGTTGTGTAACAATTTACACTCCTAGTTTTATGATTTCATGAAACTAAAACTGTAAATTATTATGAAGATTTGCAATACTAATAGTTGTGTAATGATAGATACATAAACTGATTGTTTCAAAAGAATATATGATAATATTTCGTAGAAATCATTATAAATATAATGAATATGTTTTGGAAAATGCTATTTTTAAAATTAACTGTAAAACTATTATGTAAAATTAGTATATTAATAATTATTAGTTATTTCTTTTTAGTTAGTTTTAATTAAAAATAAATATTATTTGTTTAATGGAGCTTTATAAGATTAAAATTTATTGTTTAAAAATGAAAAATATTTATCGTAAAAAAATAAAATTTGTAATATTATTTAACTTAACAAATAAAACTATTCTTCAAGTTGAAAAATATGCATATGCCAAATGGTAAAATAACGCTACTGGTTATATACCATGTTGTGAAAAATTTCAACCAATCAGCTGTGGATCGTTCCTTGCGGTATATTGGTTGCTGTACCAGTGGTATTTCAGGATGGACGAAGGCGCAGAGATTGGTATCGGCGGTGGGCTTTCAAACTTCCCTGTTGTGCATTGTAGATCCAGATGCACCTCATGTTTTCATGAATCGTAAAATTCATGTCGCACAAGGACATTCTGTCGAATGAACATGGCCCGACCATCACACGAATCATGTTCTGAAAATCTACCAGCGAAGTGTCTGATGATTCATGACTGTGTTCGGGTCTGTCTGCGCAATACCGATCGCTGAACCGCTTGTATTTCACGACGCATGTAGGCGAAGAGATTGGTGGACGAGGTGGGCTTTCAAACTCACCTGTTTGCCAACCAGTCCAACGATTCCTCCGATGAAAAACATCGCCGATATCGTTGATGTATACCAGCGTCCAAGTGTTTGGCCAGCCCGGGGAATTGTAGATCCAGATGCACCTCGTGCTTTCATGAACCGTAAAAGCGATGTCACAAAAGGACTCCTTGTTGGTGAATGAACGTGGCCCGACCATCATACTAACCATGTTCTGAAAATCTGGCGTCGGAATGTCCGACGCAGAAAAGAAGTAATCGGATTCCGTCATGCCATAGACGCTTTGGAACTCTCTTCCACGGTAGTATCTATAATCGCTGGAATAGAAAGAGTCATCCAAATAGTCCGATATCTCAGTCAGGAAATTTGCTTCATTTCCTCTGTGGATGAGTATGTTCAGGTCATTATCCTCATCCTCTGTTACCGGCCATATCTCATCTTGAACTTGTCTTTCTCTTTGTTCTCTTGCGTTGCTCTCGCTGTTCATGATCCGAGTCACACACTGTTTGCAGCAAGTATGCTGGCAGGCACTGGCAACGAATGTATCACGACAATCGTGATAGCATCTTTGGCAGCAAAGTTCCACGTCAACGTGGAGCAGACGAAAAGGTACGACCACTCTGCAAAACGGGCACGTGATTGAACTATCCATCTTATCTGCACAAGATGAGATGAATGTATGCGAAAGAAACTTGAATCACTGGAATTTGTGGCTTGAGCCAAAATGGCTACGGTAATAGATGTTTTACATGGCGAAATCATACAATTATAATTTCATTTGTTTGTTATCATATTGTTTTAATATTATGAAGTAATGATCCATCAGCAGTTTCTATAATAACATCATATCCACACTCAATTTTATTATCATAATCATCATGGCAAAAAAGTCCTTCGGGTATAAAATTATTAGATACAGAGTTATTATCTTATGAAAAGTAGCTTGTTTATTTTTGTATTAATAAATTCATCTTTATTTCCAAAAAATATATACTCATTAATATAATTAATTATTTCAATTTTATTGACATCGTAATAAAATAAAAGTATTAAACATATATACTATTAGTGATACAGTAAATGTGTAAACAGTATTTAAAAATTATAATTTATTTAATAATATTGATAATGAAATAAATATTTTAAATATGTATTTCATTATCAATATTATTAAATAGATTATAGTTTTATAATTTATCAATTTTATTGATAACTTATTTTAAATTTTAAAGTTAACATAGTATCAATGGTAAAATATAATTTGGTGTTCTATCTTTAAAACGTGCAGAATTTATTTCATCTTCTAAGTCTTTTTCATCTATTATATCAGTTTGTAATGTATCGCCAAATGTTAAAGCATTTTTTAATATCATAATTAATTTTTAAATAGTTGATTAAACCATTTATCATAATCAATTGTTTTTTTGATAATTTTCTTCAATATTCTAAATAACACCATCGCAATCAAACATATAAATATGTAAATATTTATAATTGAATTTTACATATTTAGATTGTATATTAGACATTATTATTAATGATATTTTTACTGTTCCCACGCTTAATTCATTAATATAACTTTTATCAGATACAAATAAAATATCACTCGTTGCTGTATTTAAATACATTTCAGATCATTCATAATAGTCATAAGTCATCATTACTTGACGTCGTCGTCAATATCCTTCACATTAATTCCTTGACGACGTCATTAATGTAAGTCCTGATTATGACGTCATTAAGGCCATGTGAGTCCACCCCACCCCACCCCACCCCACCCCAGCCCAGCCCAGCCCAGCCCAGCCCACCCCACCCCACCCCACCCCCCCCAGCCCAGCCCAGCCCACCCCACACCAGCCCACCCCACCCCACCCCACCCCAGCCCACCCCACCCCCCACCCCAGCCCACCCCACCCCACCCCAGCCCAGCCCACCCCACACCAGCCCACCCCACCCCACCCCAGCCCACCCCACCCCGCCCCACCCCAGCCCACCCCACCCCCCACCCCAGCCCAGCCCACCCCACCCCACCCCACCCCACCCCACCCCACCCCACCCAAAGCCGGTTGAAAGGGATCTCGCAAATGATTGGTAGTCCACAAGTAGTGGGTTGGTAAAGGCAAGACCGCTTAGGGACTTGAGGCTATTAGTCACTCGGATGTGGCGGTCAAGAATAGGTACCCAAAATGGAACCCTGGTAAGTGGAAACATGGACCAAAACCTGCGGTCCCCTGGTGGTTTATGGCTTGCCCTGGATGGATACACTGACATTCAAACCTGGGGTCCAGTTCCTGGTGGTTTCATTTTGACCTATACCCATACTGGTGGCTGCGAAATCCTATACCTAAGAATCTCTGGCATGATGATTCCCCAACAGCTAAGCTTTGGGGTCTCAGCCCAGATAGGCTCCGGGGTGGTCCGGGGCGGCCCTGCGGTAAGGTTCCACGAGGGTTCCACCAGAGTTCCACGAGGGTTCCACGACGTTCTGCGATGGTGCGAGCATTAAAAAGAGCGCCGCACGCTGTTGGGGATATCACCTGAGCGTATTTTGCTGTAGACACCAACGAACAATATCATCTCTGCTCTTGGTACCCCCCCCCAAGCGAAAACGAAACAGAACCAACAAACTAAAAAACAAAAACAAAACACATGCCGAGAACCGTGAAAATACCTCCATTTGCTTGAGTCCCCTGGAAAGTAAAAAAAACAAAATATTTCCCGCAGTGAACTCGATTCCCTTTAAAACCAAGAGGGGAAACTGAAAAAATCGTCTTAACCAAACGGAAACATATGGCTTGCTCCAAGCCGGACCCCACTTCGCCCGGCCAAAGTCCCAAAGCCCCCAAAGCGCCTTGGCTTCGTTGGCGCTGTCCAGCTCATCCTGCGCACGCGGAGAAGCCCTTCCGCGGGCAGTGCCGTCTGGCTTTGGCTCAAGATTCAAGAGCTAGGGTTACGCAGGTTTTAGTCTTTGGTTCCAGTTACCAAGGTGCCATTTTGGTACATGGTTGCGCAGCAAGGCTTCCGATGAGGGGCTTCTGGACACAAGGCGCAGCCTTTGCACAAATACTAGATATACATATGTATATATATATATATGTAAATGTATATATATATGTGTAACATATTGTGTATATATATATGTATATATGTATATATATATGTATATATATATATATGTATACAAACATAATGAATGGACAACATATTTAAACATATAAATATGTTGTCCTGCAACGACATTTGATGCTGGTGAGGTGTCATCCCATTTCCTGTTGGCATTTCGGCGAGGCTCCGTTTGCCCAGCCCGGGTACAAAAAGAGCGCCGGCTCTGTGCTTTGCACAGGTTCTGTCGGCAGTCTGTGTTCAAATGCGGGGGCTGTCAATGTCAAAATATAAAACCTTGTTGTACCCTGGCGCTGTGCCGCCTGTTGGGCCCAAATTGTCAAGCCCTCAAGTCTCGCTTCAGGAACAGGCACAAACCGGCCTGACGACAACCCTATAGCAATCGTCCACCAGTGTGCCAGCTAACGCGCCACCCTAAACCGACCCACCAGACCTAAGCAACCCACGAGACAAGCAAGCACAGCAAGCAAGCAAGCAAGCAAGCAAGCAAGCAAGCAAGCAAGCAAGCAAGCAAGCAAGCAAGCAAGCAAGCAAGCAAGCAAGCAAGCAAGCAAGCAAAGAAAGCAAAGAAAGCAAAGAAGCAAAGAAAGCAAAGAAAGCAAAGAAAGCCAAGCCAAGCCAAGCAGAGCCAAGCAGAGCCAAGCCAAGCCAAGCAAAGGCAAGCCAAGCCGAGCAAGCCAAGGCCAAGCGTGCCAAGCAAGCCAAGCAAGGCAAGCCAAGCTAAGCAAGGCAAGCCAGACAAGGAAGCAAGCCGAGCAAGCCAAGGCCAAGCGTGCCAAGCAAGCCAAGCAAGGCAAGCCAAGCCAAGCAAGGCAAGCCAGGCCAAGCGAAGGAAGCAAGCCGAGCAAGCCAAGGCCAAGCGTGCCAAGCAAGCCAAGCAAGGCAAGCAAGCCAAGCAAGGCAAGCAAGCCAAGCAAGGCAAGCCAAGGCAAGCAAGCCAAGCAAGGAAGCAGGCAAGCAAAGCAAGAAGCCAGCAATGCAAGCAAAGCAGGCAGAGAAAGCAACGAAACCGAAGCAAAGCAAAGCAACCAACCAAGCAACCAGGCAAGCAAGCATCCAGCCAGCCTGCCAACCAACCAACCTATCCAGTGTCACAGCTGAAGCCCCAAACGAAAAAGGACTTGGAGGGTGCTCAGCTCGGAGACAGTTTCGGAGTCTTGACAAAGCTGACCCCAACCATGGGAAACAGTCTGTTTCGGTTTGTGGGAAACAGTCTGTTTCGCAAATAGTTCCTTCTAGAAACCAGAACTCTGAAATAAACAAGCCCATGGTTGTCCTAAGAAACAAATGTTCCAAGAGAAAGCCACGGCTTTCTCGCCAATTTGCCGAAATCCGCCCTGAACAAAATCCGCGAGCTCACGTCAACCGCCCACCTCCAGGTCCCCTAGCTTGGAGCGCAGCGCCTGCGCCGTGGGCGTTTCTGGGCGGAAAACGTTGGGGAAGTTCCGAAGGGAAAGCGAGGCGGTCGAGACCATCAGTAGAAAAGAACATGGTTTGCCAATGTGGTGTAGGGGCAAAAGGCGCAAAATGGAGGGGGGGGGCCTTGAGGCTGGACTTGGCAATTTCTCTGATGTCCCGACTCCAAGTCCCGACTCCAAGCCCTAGGGTTCCTTGCCAATTAAAAGAAAGGCAAGGACCCAATTTGGATGATAACAATCCTTAGGACAGCAATGGTGGGTATATAAACCCCCACTGTTTCCAGGGTCTTAGAATGGGGGCCCCCACAAACGGCGGTTTTCCTCTTGTTCCCCTCTACCACCCCGCGAAGGCCCTCAGATGAAGGAACCACATGGACCGTCCATTTCTTCCCAATGTCCATTCCCGACCTTGAGGGTGCTCGCATCCGCCATGAGGCTGGCGCAAAAAGTTGTGGTCCGAATGCCTTCGTGTGACATGGGTTCCTCATAGCTTCGAGCTTCGGGAGGCAACTGCCGGTTTCGGCCATAGCGTCCCCAAACTGGATCAGCCTCACGGCATTCTTTCTATGCCCGGGGATTCAAAACCTGCTCCGCCCCTTTCGGCAAAGGTGAACCTTTCACGGGCTGAGACGGCAAAACCCACCCAAAGCTAGAGCCCAAAAGATCCGCCTATGTTTTCACACCCTGAGGCTTATTTGGCTCCTTGGCGCTGGCGGCGATGTTTCGAGCCAGAAGCTGCCAATAGACTCGAGAGCCGAAGCGGATGCAAAGCTTGGGAGGGAAGGGGCCCGAGAATGTCTCGCCAGCGTCATATGGCTGTGGGTCAAAAGGGTCAAAATTAAACCACCATGGGTCCACAGGTTTAATCCATGTTTCCATTTACCAGGGTTCCCATTTTGGGTACATATTCTTGACCCACTGCCATATGGTGTTGGTTCAGAAAAGTGGTCGCTGATTTCCGCAGCTCGATCCTTGCAAATCCATGTCGGTGATGAGCAGAGTCTCCGAAAGGGCAAGCATCTGTCACTCGACCAGGATGTGTTGATCCCCTCCACACCTCCCAGAGATGAAGGATTCTCGGCAAATGACGTCGCTTCTTGATACTTCACATCTATGTCTGTCTCCCTTAATCACCAGCATCACACTAAAAGAAGTCTAATCCATGCCCAAACATATGTTTTCATCCCTCTGCAACAAGTTGCTAACCCATGGCGCAAAACAAAAAACAAAGTGAGGCCCCTTACCGTAGATGGTTGCGAAATCCATGTCGCCATCACTTCGAAACCATGTTTAAAAACCATGTTTTCTTTCTATTTACATCAAGAAATCGAATCATTCCCCTTCAGTTTTATTCCTCGGCTCAGGTCACCGTGTTTCCACGATAGAATTCTGATTTTCCGAGGATGTGTGCTCCGCCCAACGCGCGGCACCGCCCGCTTTTCCTCGGTAGCAGTGCCTTCCGGCGGAAGCTCCGGGCCCCAGACGCCAAGTTGGCGCTGGGGAAGAGCTCGCTCCGGGGGTTCGGGTGGGATTTGCGCGGGCGAAGCCGCCAAAAACCGAAGAGACATATTCGAACAGGGCATAATATTTGCATGCATGCACATATGTATGTGTGCATGTATGCACATGTGTGTGTTTGTGTTTAGACGATGTGTACCAGCATATCAACCCCACACGAAGAAATTCGAGTCACCGGAAGCATTTTCTTCTGGCGTTACGTCCTCCTGCACAGGAGGCCGTGCGTACGTGGATCGTGCATGGAAAATTCAGGACTGCTCCCTTGTGACATCCATGTGAACATGTCCATGAATACAGGACGCCCGTTTGGACAGTCCTTCTGACTGAAATAAGACATTTGCAGGCGTCCCCGTCTCTTGGGGCACCCACAGATTGGGTCTCAGATTGACCCAAAGCCCAAAGTGGGCTAGAAAGGCTTGTCCAACAGACCCACGCAAATTGCTGCTTGGAACATCCGTTTGCGTGGCATCTACGAAAGGGAAAAACAAAAACCAACTTGTGGCGTTTCACTCGTCTACCTTTCGACTCCCTTCGAATACCTTTCGCTTACCTCACCTTCGCGGAATCCTTGGTGAATCTGCTGCGCGACCTTGAGTTCACCTCTCGTTGGACCTGGACTCATTAGACAAAGAAGTGTGACGGAAACTCATGTGGCACGCTTTTGCCGCTTCAGGAACGCACCCTACGTTGACCCCCCAATTAGAAACACCAAATCTCCGCGCAGGGGCTCAAGAATGACCGGGAGGCGCTTGACAGGCGTGGACATGTTTTTGTTTTATCGCCTCCAGGTGCACGTCTTTGGTGGAAGGGTGGGCAGAGGCTAACACATCCACCTAGAATCCACATGGAATCCACCGGGAATCCAGAAATCGAGTAGTCTTCGTTCTACCCATCCGAGAGCAGCCCTGAAGCCTTGCCCAGCAGATTCCCCAATCTGAAGATCAAGAGGAACCTGGGAATCAACCCTGGAAAGCTCAACCGAAGATGCAGCGATTGGTTTCAGCTCAGAAACCAGTCCTTTCCGACCCGACATGACCTTAAACATAAGCAACCAAAGACCTGCCAGGAAAAAGTTGGCAGAACTCCAGGGATGCCCTCTCGTTTTGGGGATCCGCTGGGCAAAGGTTCCCCTTTCTCCGCAAGCTCAGAGCTCCACTCCGTGCTTTTTTTCCAAGCGCCTGGAAGGCGAAGGCAAGTGGACCCCGCGCCCAGAAACCAAGAGGTGATATCACCTTTTTGGGAACGAGCAGAAACCCAAGGGGAACTAAGAGGTAGGTCAACCCATGAAGAAACAAAAAGGTCAGAGTCAAATCGGTGCAAAGGGTGGGTTCGCTTTGGAGGTGTTGTTTCGGGTTTCCCTTGCCAACCTGCAAGGGGTAAGCCCCCTTGGAACTAAAAGCTTCACGCACAACAAGCAAATCCGAAACCAGGATTTGGTGCAAAGTCTGTGAACCAGGCCCTGTTCCCAGAAAAAAAATAAACAAAAGGAGCTGGTGGCTTAAACAAGGCTTGTCTAAACAAATTGACTCAGGCATTGGGCCCTTGGGCTCGCAAGATCTGAAGGGAAATGCAAGGCAGCCGGCTGTCTCATCGCCATGAAACTGTTGCAATTCCAATGGGATTGTGCTGTCCATCCTTTTTTCATGATGTCCGGGGTGAGCGATGTTCATTTGTTTGGTGTTCCCACATGGCCTTGAAGCAAAAAAGTGTGTACTATGAGCGGCCAAAAGCAAAACGAACCTGCGGGACCCAGATGCCAGTTGATGGGTCAGCACGCGAAGCCACAGCAAGTGTAAGACTGTAAGATGGACGCGGGATCTGCCAGAGAAGAGAAGGGGGAAGCGATCTTCAAGCAAAGCAACGCCCTGAACTAAAGAGTCAGCAGGTGAGTGGCAAGCGCGAAGATCCTCCAGATATGCCACCAATACGCCACCAAAACAGAGACGACACCTGGCAGCCGCGGATCGAAGTCGTGAAGCGAACGCAAGTTATCAAGCCGGAGAAGCAGGAAGGACAAGGCAAAGAGGGAGAGTCGCGCAAAGCATGCCGGTCCGACCGTCATCATTCACCCCCTCCCCCACCCCAAACCACTCGAAAGACGCCTGATGACAGTTCCACGGCGGCGAACCAGCCAGTCACAAGGCCACAAGGTCCAGGTCCATCTGCCAAACCGGGAGGATTGGCATGGGAACTTCTTGTTGCTTGGCACCAAACTGGCAACTTGTCGGGAATGGGACTCACGGTTTCTTCGCAAGAGATCTATAGGATCGAACGCCGGTACTTCCAAATGACCGATGCTCACGGGTCCCCTGGGTGATCCCTATAGGTCCCTATGCGTCCCTACTATGTTTCAAAATCGGATGCAATTTAGCGCATTCGAGCAATCGATTCGAAGCCCGTGAAACAAAAAAAATCTGATTCCCGCAATCCCGATTCGGACTTCCTGAGACCAGTGGCTTTCCAAGGAGGGAAGAACGTCAGATTCTGCCTGGTATGTTGTCCTATCTATGAAAAGTTATTCCGGAGACCCCATCCCTCTGACAAGGGTCCATCGATTCCTTTTGGAACTCCAAGCGTAAGTTTTGTCTGGTTTGGAGACCCAACCCACCCCACTCCGAATCCGGAATCGGCATTCGGCTGCCCCCCAGCGGAGCGCCCAAAAAAAGTTAACGTCAAAAACGTGGCCCACGTGTGAAGCTTGCAACTTGGAAACCATCGAGGATGGCTGGGAGATGGGGGGGAGTTTAGGGCGAGGGTAAGATTGACCCCGGATTAATAAACCCCTGTTTGTTAATATGAAGGTGTCCCTGCTTTTAGTGGGGATTTATCACTTTTGGAGGGGAACACCCCCATATTGATAAACAGGGGTTTATTAATCCGGGGTCAGCATTAAGGCTCCTGTCTGACCACATTACAATAATTTACAAACCAGACGGCAGGAATCTGTCCTGGTCTTCACATGTCTTGCCCCATGTGGAAAGCTCAGTGAGTCGTTTGCCTAGTTCTTCTTCGCCGCGCGAAGCACGGGGAAACCAACTTGGCCCGCATCTCGCAATTTGACGTGTCCGTCGAAATGTTGGTAAGCATGACGGGAGCATTGAAATTTACGTCTGTGCTTTTTGTTGTAAATCAAGACACTTGTCCGCAGAAAACATGTCGTCTGAACCTGAAACATGGAGAAAGGCCCAAGAGGAAGCCACCCCAAACCGCGCCTCAGACCGTGGTGCCCTCGTTCGTCTCCATCTCCTTCCCTGGTGCTGCTGCCAAGGCGTAGGCCTGGGTGTGACAGCCCTTTCGACAGAACTTATAAAAAAAAAAAAGGAGAAAAAAAAAACGTCATGTCCTCAAAAATCCCGTTCCTTCAACCCTTTGTTCCTTTTTGGCTGCCCAAAGCAACCCAAGACATCTGTGTTCTCTTCCTTCAATCCCCAAGGCCCATCACAGTCTCCAGGCACAATCCGGCAGAGCCAGGTTTTTTTTCTTTTGGGGGGGGTTGGTGACGGTTGGTGTCTGGGGGCCGTTTCCAACTTACACTCTGCAAGCAGGGGTTCACCAATCACCAATTCTGAGGGTTGCCTGAAAATGGCGGGTTGTTTTTGTTGAGTCTCCTTTTGAATCACACCAAAAACAAGGAAGCAAACAGACACCCTTACCTGGAGTCTCCACCCCTTAGAAAAATGGGGGGGGGGGCATCCACTCAAAGAAAGGTCATGAAGGCTCCACGTGTGCCGGTTCCGCACCACCGATTTCTGGAAGCTCCGAACTCCTAGTCACGTAGGAAACCAAAGGAGAGATGGGCGCGAGCCTATGCCAAGCCCCAAGGGCCAATCCGACTTTACACAGTCCCATCTAGGGAAGCCACTAAGTACTAAGTGGACCAAATCCTTGCGGAACTCAAGGCCTTGAGATCTTGCGGATTGCATTCGAACCGGCCAACCCTTTGAACATTTCTTCGATCGTGCCTTCGGCGGGGAGTGGTGGTGCGAGTCCATGCCAGCATCCTCCACCTGAACTATGCTAGGGCGTCGACGGGATTCCATCCCATATCCACCGAAGAAAAGGTGGAAAAACCTTCCGTTTCAGGTCTACCTTCCGCCGGGTCGATTTGTTGTTGTTTTTACTCTTTTGGGGGGTGGGGGTGGGGCATGGGGTGGGGGTGCCTTTTTGTACTTTTTGGAGGGAGTGGGGGGGGGGGCGGGGGCCCTCTTGGTCTGCGCTTTGGGCGCCGGCGGATTTTTGGCAACCTCTCCTTCCCGAGACCCGCAACCCTGGGCACCATCGCAAAAGTTCGAGCACCATTGGCCTCCAGCTGCTCCTTGAGGCTCCCGAGCTGCTCCAGCTCCGCCTCAAGCTTTCGGTCCGGGGCCAAAATCTTGGCGGGGAAGGTGACGTGGCTGTGGCTGTCAAAGCCCTATATATGGCTGTGGCTCAACAAACCGGTGCCAGAATGGAACCCTGGTAGGTGGAAAAACGGACCAACACCTGCGTAACCTCCTCCTGTTTAATTTTGAGCCACACCCATATAATATTTGACCACATGTGTCATTAAGACTTTCTTTATCCGGTGAACATCAAAATAGGTGGCAACTGGATGTTGAGCGGGGCATTCCCTCATTGAACAGCAAGAAAAATGGCTGTGCTGGTCACAAATGGTTGGTAACCGCGGAACCAATGGGGAAAAAAAACAACGAGAAGGGAGAAAAACAACATATGTTAGATCCAAAAGGCTTCTTTCCTGGGATGGTCTTCTCAGGGAAACCAAGACCAACTATGGAAAAACAGCAACACGGAAAAAGAAGCCAGAACTGGGTGCTCCTGTTGGTTTCCCTTAGGTGTTTGACCATTTTGCGATCGGTGCCCAGTAGGGAATGCCCGTTCCGCTTGTTGGGAATGAGCCGGATCCGGTTCGTCCCGAATAAAGGAAGCCAGATCGGATGGATGGTTTCTCTCGGGGTCATCTGAACCGGTTTTGGGGGATTCCCGAACAAAGGAAACCACCAATTGGATGTTTTCTTTTTCGGGGTCATTCCCGCATGCACCGATTTGTGAAGGCCTCCCTGCTTCCTTTTTTGCGTCTTCGCCCCCAGGAAACATGAAAAACTATGTCCGACTGTGAAACAGCCATTAAAACAAATAAGGGAAAATACAGAACACTCATTTGGCCGTGGGTCAAAAATAGGTACCCACAATGGAAGCCTGGTAAGTGGAAACATGGACCAAAATCTGCTAGGCTTTGGATGGTTTTACGGGGCAAGCAATGAAAACGAGCTGAACTAGGAACTCCATCTTGAGAAACACCCAAATGGAGGCTCAAAAGGCAGAACATATTGCGAGGAACCGGGAGAAGGACCAGAGCCAAAAGCAAATGGGCAGGACCTGCCAACTTCAAACTCTGCAAGCCCTGCAGTTTGCTTCTCGAACTGGCCGGGCCCGTAATGGGGGAGAACCAAGGGCCCCACCCACCCCACCCCACCCCACCCCACCCCACCCCACCCCACCCCACCCCACCCCACCCCACCCCACCCCAGCCCAGCCCAGCCCAGCCCAGCCCAGCCCAGCCCAGCCCAGCCCAGCCCCAGCCCACCCCACACCCACCCACCCCAGCCCACCCCACCCCACCCCACCCCCCCACCCCACCCCCACCCCACCCCACCCCACCCCACCCCACCCCACCCCACCCCACCCCACCCCACCCCCCCATTATAACAAACAGTAAAAGTATATTCATTTCCTATTTTTATACGATTGTACAATTCTTTATTAATATTATATTTTAAATAATCAAATTTATCACACCACAATATAACTTTTCTAAACCCCAAGTCCTTAAAATAAACATTAATTATATTACTATTTTTTCTAAAAAATGAATTAATTATGAATGAAGGTACGAATGACTGATGGACGGCCCAGTCTAAATAAGTCATAAATACGTTCATAAATAAATTTAAAATGGATGCCGCTCTTTTGACACTGTTGCGGACAGGTTTGATGAGCCTGGGCCAGAAAAGCCTGTATCAACAGGCCTCTCGCCATTTTCTGGCTATTGAAAGATGTATGCAGAAGGCCATCTGTCACTTATTGAGCTTTTGCTTATGTGGCAACTGTTTGCGCCACAAAGCACATCTGCCTCAGGGAAGGGAGGGCGGGACCGAAAAAAACTGTGGCAACATGCAATGCGAGCTGAATCCATGCTTGTCATGGATGCCGCTCTTTTGACACTGTTGCGGACAGGTTTGATGAGCCTGGGCCAGAAAAGCCTGTATCAACAGGCCTCTCGCCATTTTCTGGCTATTGAAAGATGTATGCAGAAGGCCATCTGTCACTTATTGAGCTTTTGCTTATGTGGCAACTGTTTGCGCCACAAAGCACATCTGCTACTCTCAAGGTTGGCCCAAAGGCGGCGCAGCTGCAAAAGGGGCCATGAGCGAGGCCGCATGGCCGGCCAAGTTTCGAATTCGATGGCGCGAGCTCTCTTTGAGCCGCGCGAAAAACATCTGACCCGTAACATCCTGAATGTAGTGTTCCAAAGTTGCCTGTTGGCGCCACCGGCCTCTCCACATGACTTTCTGCAAATCCTCTGTCATGTGAAAAAGCCATGTAGCACCCGATCCGCGCAGGGCTTTCGGCGTCACGCCGTTGTCACGCTCAGCAACGGGAAGACCCAAGTTGCTGAACACATCGTTCCAGCGGGAGCGAAATTGAGCCGCGGAAGCTGCAAATAGCGGCGTGCCCGATGGTAAGTCACGAAAGAGCCCCTGCAAAAATCGGACAGTGGCAGCGTCAGAGATTTTGGCATGTTGCCGCTGCAAAAATCTGCGCGTTTTGGAATTCAGAATGCAAACGTAGGCCACGGCCTCATCAGAAATCATATCGCATGGCAAAATCAAATGGCACCGCTGCAGCGGCAGTATCTCCCCCGGGCGTAGCAGGGCATGAAAGCCTATGAGGATGGCAGCTGCGAAACGAGGCCAACTCCACAGAAGGCTGACTGAAACTGCGGCCCGAAGAACAACTTCGGGGAAAACCATGCCACGCTGCACAGGCTCCACTTCCTCCCAACGCGTCAGCAACTTCCAGGCAGCACTGAAGAAAGGGCGGAAATGCCCAAAACGATCAGCTGTGCTGTTGATGGCTTCTGCAAAATCATACTTGGAGCGGCCCGTGTAAAACAAGAACCTCCCAAATGCTTGGAGCGCCATCCCCAGCAAGAGCCCTGACTGACTGATTGCTGCAAAATCGGCATCCAGGGTACATGAAGTCCAACCGACCAGTTCATCGTGCAAACGGTCACGCCGACAACGAGTGGCTGGGCGAAGGCCAGCAGTGAGAGCGAGGTCCACTTGCTTCCTGGCCTCACACGCCACGCGCTTGCTTCGGGGCATGGATCTGGCCAGACAAACGAATGAGCCTGGCCCAGCCACTTAGAGGCCAGAGCAATGCGTCAGCAGCCCGCACGGCATCAAAAGCAGCAAGCTGGCCAGACTGCATCGACAGCAGCCATGCAGGCGCATGCAGGGCGGGCGCCCGGAGCCGGACACCGCGTGAAGGGTCGTCAGCAGGATTGTGTTTGCTAGGAATGTGGATTCCAGAGGGGTACAGGTTTGCACCAAGGAGGTAAGGAATGACAGACCCCAGGTAGCAATTCAAATGTTGGCTGCTGGATCTTCCTTTTGCGTTGCACCCTTGAACAACCTGGCTGTCCAACAAGACACAAAACCGGCTGCTTGGCGCAACTTTGGCCATGTGTTTGATGAGGCTGCGGTATGCAATCTCCTCGTTGACATTAATGTGATTGTGCTTTTTGAACCTGTATTGTATGAGCGTCTGCCACCGGAGGGAAGACGCAAGCTCAACAACCCACTTGCACTGCCTTACCTTGCTGCGGTGGGGTCGGCACGCCTCCTTGTCAATTACCGCAACATACTGCTGAACCATAGCATGCATTGCTGGAATGGGGTAGGCCATAGAAAAGTCTGCCAAGGCTTGTCCAGGTTCGGGTTCTGTTCCAAACACATGCAAGCAGCTAGGTCGGCAACAAGCTTTGAAAACGGCAATGGTCTCCGGCGTAAAGGTTTTGCCAAGGCGAAGATGTCTCCCTTTCAGCGGGCACCGGCAGCTGTCTGACAGCCGAAGCAACTGAGGGCAGTTGACTAGCCAGCGCGTCCCTCGTTCAAAGGGGGTACCGTAGTTGCAAAACGGAAACTGTAAACTGTAAAAGCCTCGAGCACGCAGACGTCTGAAAATATCCAGGTCAAACATGAGAGAGTTGCGAGGTTGCTCAACTGAAGCCCAGATGCCATACCGCGCGCACAAATGTAATAAAAAGGCAGTGTAAATTGCCAGGGTATTTCCCTCTCTTGTAGCGCGGTCGTGGACGCAGAAACCAAATGGGCATTGCTTGGATCTGAGTGGGGGACAGTTCATAGTACCAAAAGTGGAGTGCGGTGCGCCAAAATGAAATATACGAACCACTCGTCTGCATATCAAGCCGACCAAGAAGAGTATGGTGGATGGAACCAGGACATTTTGGGAAAAGGGGTCCCGTGTCACTTCATACCCATCATGAACACGAAAGCCAGCAAAACGGAAAGCTGCAGAAAAGTTGCCGTGGCCCTTAAAAACTTCTGCGAAATCCCAAAGAAAACCTTCAGCAAGAGACTGAGGGAGAGAACTGGCGGTGGTAGGGGCAGCAAGTTCCTCCCCAAACTCCTTCAAGTAGGCGCCCAAAAAGGATTCTTTGTGAGTGTAAAAGCCCTTGTGGTCAGCAACACGCCAGAGCTCAAGCGAGGCTGCCGCGCCAATCTGCGCCTTTACGACTCCAGCTCCGTGAAGAGAAGCGTCGGTTGCAAAAAGACAAGGAGCAGGGCGAGCACGTAGATCAGTTTGCATGTAAGGAGCAAAAGCTGTGAGCAATAATAACTCTTGCTTTGCAATGTGGCTCAAAACAAAAACCTCGTGCTCGCCAAGCTGCTTTCCCTCATGAAAAACGGTATTGAGCAGGCACATCAGTGGACGTCTGTAAAGCAAGACAAATATCCAGCACCCCACCAGCGTTTCCAGGATGTTTCTCGTGCAGACCCCAAGAAGAACAACCTCGAAGGTGATTTCGCACAACATCAAAGTTTTCAATCGTGGGGCAGCAACACAGCCAGCAACACCATCAATCTCTGCTCCCAGCATGACCCCCTGATAGATGTCCCGCTTCACTTTGCTGGGGGAGACGCGGAGCCCAACCGCAGCATATTTATCAAGCGCCCGGTCAAACAGAATTTGATCAAACCGAAGTCTGGGGGTGGGCTTGCCGCGATCCTGCTTCGGAACAGCCGCAATGACGCCAAAGTC